TTGAATTTTCAGTCAATTTTCGACAGCGACGAACAGAATGAAACAATACAGAAACTTCTTTTTAGCGTTCTGTTCGTCAGCTATCGTGAATTAGCACAACATAAATTTAAATAGAGTCACATTTCATTTCTGCATCTCTATAACAATATTGTGAATTTGTTACATCCTCTTCTTCTTCTGGTGTTTGTTTATCAAGATGTATAGGTATGTATTCGACTCTTTAAATATATACAAGAGTAAAATATTTAATAGAAATTCTATTTAAATCTACAGCAGCACAACACCATCTAAATCTGCCTATAAATCCGATTTAACTGATCATGGATCAGGTAGCGGTGCTGGTCATAAACCCGCACAAATTGTTCAGAAATGGATTGCATCGAAATTTGATCGAAAATAAGAAATTAATTATCCTGCAACTGACCAATTAGACTGCAGTGCAACATTTTCTGACTCGTTTAATAAAATAAACATCATTGAAATATTTGTACATTTGTATATATTTCATCGTGCAATATATACAAGTATTACACAAGACTACGATACTTGGTATCATGAAAAACAAGTAAGAGACTTTTTGATAACTAAATTAGCAATATTAATTTTACTTCAATAAAATGTTATTCTTGTTTCGTCTTAGGAAATAATAGCATCACATAAAGAAATCGTGACAACACAAATTGATTGGGCCAATATGTTATGTTCTTTCGTGTTCAGAGAATCACGTTTCCTCATCTTTGTATTGTTTCTTGTTCTTATCAAAAACAACTAGAGAGTCATGCAAGCGATATTAAATCATTGTCAGTATTTTTAGTTGTATCTTATTCATTTTTCAACATTTATTTCCACATATTTCAAAAAACAAATGACAATTCGACAAGCATGCAAAATAAACTATATCAATCGCACTTAATCGAAGCACACTTAGTATCTAGTTTTTACTTTACGGTAACAGCATCAAAGATGGAAATCCATAAAAATGGTCATTTCTATATATTATATAGATTTTTTTATTTCATATTCCCCCGTACAATCTATTCCTGTAATCAATCATTTAAATCAATATTGATATGATTTATTAAAAGAAATCAACTGAACAGTACCATTAATGTTGATTCATTTATTCATGATCACTTCTATGAAGTTAACGATTTTTAATATTTATGAATTTGAATTTATTTCGCTAATGTTTTTTCGTTTAGATCACGTCTTTTTATGTAATATATGATAAGAGCAATATTATGGACATCACCCAGGTCAAATATAACGGCCCGTGAGCGGTGCGAAAACGGTGTATAACGACTACCATTACGATGATCAATAAGACCATCAATTTTTGCCCTTATTAAGTAAAATCGTTGATTGTATGATGGAAGATAGATTCAAGTATTTTATTATCGCTTCTTTTTGTAATCGACCAAATTTAGATTAACTCACAACATCGAACGGAACAGTAAGTATAATTAATTTATTCTTAATGAATTTTAGATTATTTCAGTACGAAAAAAAATAAGTATCTACTTGAGTAAATTGCAGTGAAGAGAAAGATGGGGTAAGGGTTAGTATGAGAATGTCACGGAAATGAAAAAATAAAAACTGATTGGTTATTGTATGAACAATAAATCAACGTTTTGTTAACATATATAAATATATATCTTTTATTTGCAAGTTGTTGCTGAAATTAAAATTTCTTTTTCTATCTATTTTCTTTAATAAATTGTTAGTATTAAAGAAAAAAAAATGGCTATAGAAACTCCTGAATCACAGTCTGATGTAAGCATTTTTTCATTACATAATTTATTATTGACGAAAACAGATTATCTACTAATTTCGTCTAAACTAAACTAATTATTTATACGTTAAAAAATATCAGTTGAAATACTAGTTTTTGTAATAAAATAATAGAGTGAAGCTTTGTCCGAATAATAAGTAAACTAAAAATAAAATATAAATATTTATTTAGGATGATCGAACGCAGAAATCATTGAAACACCTCCAAATTTTTAATGGGTTGATTATTAAGACAAATGATGCTATTAATACTTACGCCACAGGAAGCATCACACACGATCAACTTTTAACAAAGCTCAAGACATTTAATGACGAATACCTAAAAAAAATTGTAGATATCTAACTTTTATTTTTTTTTCTTTCGTTTAAATTTCTCTTTAATAAAATAACAAATGTTAATGTTTTTTCTTAGTTCCAGAAACAAGCGTTGATTTACTTTTCTCTTTTTCTTGCTTAATAAAAAATAAAAATTGTTGACGTATCTTTTCCATTTGGGTAGGTGTGCTGTCCCTCAATTAAACTACACCTACACCTTCAAGAAACTTTTCGTTTGTAAATCAATATGTGCAATGTTCTGTATGATATCGTGAGGGCGGAGAAAAAGTGAATGATGAAAAATAATCTGATAGACTTATAATTGAGATTACTTCTGTAAATATTGAATAAACTTAGTGCATTTTTAATGATGATGCTTATGTGACAGATGAAGAACTGCAAAAATAAACTAGTTGAAATTATGTCACCATTCAGAGAATTATCTCGGATCATTTGTAATTTGAAAAAAATCAATGTGTTGCTTTATTTATTATATTGGAAATTGATTGTAACCTATTATCCAAGAAATCAAGATGCAAAGACCGACATCAGACATTAATGTCATTAAAAATTACCATCATAATAGTAGATTATGTATTTATAAAGATGTATTTATAGAAATAAACTTTGTTTAATCTTATTATACGACATTAGAATGTCACTATCACTATTTCTGAACTGTTCTGAAGAAGATACCGAGAAATAATTATTTAAAAATTTGACTAAGAAAACAACCCAGTTATAGAGAATGCTCTCATAATTAAATGAAGAAGATTTTATTTTAAAATTTTTTTTATTCAAGCATATCTATATGCTTAAGATTGTCTCTTTGAGTCTCCTCATCTAATCTAAGTGATACATGTTCAACAATTTATCATTGAAAAGTCCTCAATTTTAAAAACTTAAGAGTTTGTATCTGACGAATTGAATTAAATATGACCTGTTTCATATTATCATCTAATTACACATAGAATTAAAGACTGATAATTGAATAGTCGAAAATATTACCATGTTTAAGTGGCTATGAAATGACAAAAAAATATAATAAGAAGATTATAGATTTTAATCTTTTGATAATTATTCATGTTATATATTTATCGTTATTTACATGTCAAACATAATGAGAATATAGAGACTTTTTAGACTTAATTATTACTGCAATGAATTCAAGTGAGATACATGAAATTCAGAGTTCTGCAAACTATAAAATCATCATACCAATTTCAATATTTTGTGCATTAATTTCAATAATTATTTCTTGTGGAATATTAATGGTCATCTTTTTAAACAAACGATTACATACAATGGCACATATTTTAATTTGTAATACGTGTTTTACATCGATATTTTATAGTGTAGTTCAAAATAATAATTATATATATTTGATATTTATTACACAAGATACAAGTGATATATCATGCAGATTTCGTGCTTATTTTGGTTATATGTCTATAGCAGCAGTTATTTATTCATATTTTATTCAAGCTTTATCACGATTATTCTACTCCATATTTCATAGAAATCAACGATGGATACTTTCATTTAAAACTCAATATATAATGATATTGATACAATGGATAGTTGTAATCTTAATTCCGTTGCCAGCAATATTAACAAAAGATATATATTATCGTCCAACATTTCTCTGTTGGGTACCAAAAGAAAAATTTTTACATATGACTTACACACTTCTTGTTTATTATGTGATTCCGATCACATTGATTGTTATTATTTATATAAATATTTATTGTCGAGTTAAATATTTAGAAAAGAATATGAATATAAAAACAATAAGAAAAATACAACAAAATCGAAATCTTGAAATTCTTCGAAATATTTTAATACTTATTGGAATTTATACAAGTGGAGGAATTGCAACATTTATTTATATAACAACAAAAATTGAAATATTTTATTCAATGGGAATTGTATTGTTACCATTATTTGTTACAATTGAAAAATTAATGACAATTTTACTTGACAGAGAAGTTAGAAAGATTATTAAAAATTATTTTTGTCAATCAAAAACTAAAATTACAGTGATTGTTAGAAATCAAAATCATCTCGTTCGACAAAATTAATGAAGTATATCTCAAACACTTTTATGTTATTGATTTTTGTAAAAAGATGTAAATTTAATTCTATTTTCTTATAAATAATAATATGACAAATATTGAATTATGAATGTCGCTACACAACATTTTTAATCGACCAGTATGAAATGATTACATTTAGTTTGTTTCACATTGATACTTAGAAAATAAATTAATTCGTTTTAAATTTTATCAAGTATTTCACGTGACGATAAAAAATGCAACTACTCAGGCTAGAAAATTACGATGAAATCTTAAATAAGATAGAAAAACAATTGAGAAATCAATAAAATACTAAAAGTCAGTTTCAGTGTTATATGAGTAGTTTTCTCTACTAAATCTCATTCTATAGGACTGAAATTTTCAGGATATTGTAATATATGTGGATGTATATGAACGTGTCGTTTATTTAACAACACTAACAAGACCTTGGAGAAGAGAACGAACATATAACAAGAGCAGCGAAAGATGAGTGTGAGTACTCTATTCATTTCACACTCACATCCACCTACCCACACCCTCACTCATCCCGAATACCGACCTTTATTGCTGAACTTCTCATATAATTGTTTCATTTCACTGCGGCAATCAAGAATAGTCCCTTTTTTTCCTCTTTTGTTCGAATTTCATTCTTTGTTTTTGAAAAATCATTTCCTAAAATACTTCTTTTTCGGGCTATTTTTATAATATTTATTTTATTAAGTGTGTTAGTAAATAAGGATGTGAGATTTCAGTTATTCGAAAAGCGAGAAATTAAACAGAGAATTAAAATAAAAGCACTTCGTACATTTGAGGGAAAATTTAGTTTAAACGCCCATCCTTTTTAAGGCGCTCAGTGAGCTCATGTAAGTTGTAGTAATTGACACCATTCACTATAGCGGCCGCTCCAGAGGTAACAGAGCAAATAGCCGAACCGGCCTGTAGCAGACTATGTGCAGGACTTGCATAGGTAAGGCAACCAAATGAAACAGACATGAGAAACTTGGCGAATCCCATAGTCCCTTGTCGAGTTTTCAAATTTTCGGCACCCACTCGGATCTCAGCTAGACGTTGCTCCCATAAGTTCGGTGGATAGTTTTTAAAAGTGGATATTAATTCACCTTGAAATCTTCTTACTTCTTTTCGATCATTATTTGAATCCAATATACATATTATACTGAATGCCATTCCCACTGAATTCATAATTTCAGGTTGTTTATCATAATTTTTGATAAGAGTATTAACGATTCTTCTGAACTTGCTTTCAGCAATGGGACGTATTTTGCTTCTGACGAGTCCAACAATTAGACCAATTGCAGCATGAATAACAGCTCCGGCTTTGGCGTCGATGCCATACTCATTGAGTACTTGTGTGGCTATTTTGGTGACACTCATCAATTAATGGTTATCTAAAAATACTGAAAGGACTCGGATCAGTTTCAATGTTTTTTCTATTGACTTGGACATAGCCTGAAAAATATCTTCTATATGCTATGCAAAAACTATTTACTCAAACGCTTTCCGTTTAGTAAAATGATGAAAAATGAAGCGGGTGTGCAATTTTTTTCCTTTACGATGTTAGCTGAGTTAGTTGGAAAAATCCAAGTTGATAGTCAATCACCAGCAAAACAAACCTTATAACACTTTGCACTCTCATCTTTTTCTCTTTCTTTTCTACCAATTTCTTATTCGTCAGTTCGACTTTCTTCATTTCTCAAAAAAATGATGCTCTGCAATATTATTTTAAAAAAACTGAAAAAGATGTCAGAAAGGAAACTATTCCAAAAAGAAATAGAGAAAAAATCCGAGCTGGAATACTATTAGAAAGACATTTTTTGTACTTATTATAGTTCGAAGAGCAAGCATTTTTCTGTTCGCCGTGGTGTAGATGCGGATGTGTATGTAAACGAAAATGAAGGATGATTGAAATAGCTGCAACTACTTCCAAAAAATCGATTTAATTTGTGATTAAAATTTTTTTAATTTTTCTTTGAATAAAAAAGGACTTTGATTTATTTGTATAGAAAACGTTTCTCACTCGAAAGATAAAAATAATTTTTATTTGCAAATAAAAAAAGAAAAGGAATAGCCTTGATTTTATGTGGAATGTGATAAAAAAAAATTTTAAATTGAAAATCAAAGAAAAGACTTTTTTTAAGAAAAAATTGAAATAGAAAATAATTTTATTTAAATTGCAAATCTCTTTTTTTGTTTGAGGTTGGATATAGGCAGGTCAGAACATAGGCTCGTGACTGATAAAGAAGAAAGTCACGTTTCGCGATCTTAATATTAGACAAAGAGAAGAAGAAATATTCGACATAGGAAAAAGCAGTATAAATACTTAGACGACATAGGTTAAATTGTGAATACATTTTGAGGATATGAGTGTATCGATAAGGATGATATGATGAGAGCGCATGCGTTTGCACAAAAACTTGCGTTTTCTCTCTCTTTCTCCTTTCTTTTAGAATATGGGTATATGGTGATATATCATAAAAGGCAATAAAAGATACCAAAAGCAGAACAACAACAGCGACAAACACTTCTGTATTTTTTTTCCTATTTGAATAAAGAAAAAGAGTATTTTAGAAGAGCGAAAAAAACTATATTTATCAAATAGGTTAGAAGCAGCGATACACTGAAAAAATGGATGTACAATAATAAACTCTTCAAAACGACTTATCATGGTAATAGATGCTTTTATATACGCTTTTTGATTTATTAACGTCATAAACTATTTGATATACCGTTTCTGTTGACATATCCACGACGGATATTTTATTCGTTGCTATTTGATAAACGTTTTAGGGTTTATTAGCAGTAATATACTGTTGAAAAAGCTTGATAAGTTCTTAAATTCTCCAGAAAAAGGTTCAACAATGCACCATTTAGAAAAACTAGTAGAATCAAAAATCTTTCCAAAGGATATCAAAATTTATCAAAATTTTTCAAGTATGTATGACTGATGATAAACCCTAAAACGTTTATCAAACTGCAAGGGTTGAAATATTCGTTGCAGATACATCAACACAAAGAGTATATCAAATGGCTTATGATGTTGATAAATCGAAAAAGCGCATATGAAAGAATTTATTAGCCTTATAAATCGTTTTGAAGGGTTTATTATTCTAGAGGGTGTGGGTGTGGCTGTGACTGTACATATTATGTTCATCTAGCACCCACATACACATCCATACCTACACCCTACATGTTATGATCAAAGTATCTAGTTTTAATATATTTTATAAGCATAGCCGATTTCATGATGCATATTCAACTTAAAACATGATTATCATTATTTCAATTCAGTATCTTTTAATAATGAAATACCTTTGTTGAAATGATTTCAAACTGTTGAAACTTTCTATTTAAAGTACTTCAAGTAAATAGTTTGTTTTTTTATGAAGTGTGTATATCTATATATATAATTGTTATAACTTATCTTTATTTTTTATTGTTCTAACTCTGTAAAATAACAAATGTTCTTTAATAAATTTAGATGATTGTATTTATTTGAGGTATGACATAATTTTTCAATCAATTTGAACAAATAATATATCTTCATTGTTTGTCAACTGTTGAAAAGACAAATAAAAGAGTACATCTTTCCTTTTTTGAGTTTCGAGAAATTCATTTTATAGAAAAATTATACAAAAAAAACTAATTAATTAATTTATCTTTTAAATAAACATTCTTTATTATTATTATATTTAAATTTAGAAAGAAAAAGAAATATGATTGATTAAGATTTATACAATTAGGTAGAACATGAATCGTTTAACAAAACAAGACAATGTTTTTTGTATAGAATTATAATGAACTTCCATAACTGATTATCAATATAAAATATTAATTAAGAGCACTTATTGATATTTAAAGTAAATATAAATGTGGAAATAATTAATAATGAGATGGTATAAAATTTAAAAATATTTGTAGCAGCACAAACAGCATTTGATAATCCAACCAAACATGTTGTATAAGATGCTTTACATGCATCTACACATGTTGTACTAGCACATGTTGGCACAGATAATGTACCTAAATATAGTAATGAACAACCAGAACCTGCACAACATGAACAACGACAACCATATGAATTCACATTAATTACTAATAATGAAAATATAAAAATGAATAACATTGCACCATACATTATGTTTTCTTCTAATCAAATCAATAAAACTGAACTGCCTTCGTCTTTTACAACAGAACAAATAGCTTCTTTTCGTTCATTTATATTTAACAAAGAGATGAACATACAAAGACGAAGAAAAAACGTTACAAAGACTTCATTGTTAACATATGTCTACTTTTTTTTTATAAAATTGAATCAATTTCTGTTTTGTCTATTAAAAGATGCTATACTTACTTCAAATAGAAATAATGGTCAATGACATTGTGATGATAATTACATCTTGTATCATTCATTGACTCTCAAAAATTAATTTTTAAAGGAAATGTTTCTATTCATTATTAGAATCGTTTTCTCTAATGGTTTATTTTCTCTATTCCATACTATATTCATATCTGACTATTGAATCAGATAGATTAACCAAAATTGAGAATTAAATTCTTTAATGTCATGAAATCCAATATATTGCATCAAACTTTCGTGTAGACAATATCATGTGTAAATAAATTTTCCTTCTCCACATGAGACTGTATATTAATAGATTTATCTATTTTCTGATATGAAGACAAAATAAAAACTGTCTTTGTCTTTGACAACAAAAGTTCTGTCACTAAATAAATGTAGAGAGAGGTATTCGTGCTGTATTTTTATTAAAAGTGCAAAATAAAGATAACTTTTTGTCCTTTAACCGTAGACTAGTCTAACAGAAGCCACAAATTTAAAAATAGATAAGACAATGTGAGAGGAGAACGAAGGTTAGTTTGATGTGTGTAATAGACGAATTAGAAAATGTGATTATTGTGAAACAAAAATAAAATTATCGGAGAACAGTAAACCATTAGTTGTCAGAACTGTTTTGAATCAATAGATGATGTTTACACAAAAGCTATGAACACATGATTTTCTTTTCAAAAAGAACATGAAAGTAACATTTCCTACTTCAACACTCTCAAGGGTTACAGATACAATTTCACGCACTTATTTGTTTTTGACTTGAAAAAAGTTTTTAAAACATCTCAAATATCCACGCGTGGTTTTAGATTACAAATCATAACTTTTAACACATAAGAGGCATTAATTAAATTATGTAATATAAGAAATTTTAATTTTGAAAAAATTAATTTGCAGTTATATCGAATGACTTTCACATTCATATATTCAAACAATGAGACAATCCACATGTTTTTATACTTAGTTAAACGATACCACTATCATATAATAACAAGTAACAAACGACGAAATTATAAGATAAGATATATCTATTTATTTATTTATTAACACAACTTTGTTTTTATATTAATTCTTCCAAATACTGATCTTCTAATCACAATACTATGACGTCAAAAAA